ATTTTCTCGAACGAAGGATTATTTCGAGAAGGATTTTTAATAGTGAAAAGAAATATCGTTTGACCGGACGAGGAAAAAAATTTTGATGATAAATGTTTGGAATAATGTTTTGGAAGTTTTGGAATTGAAAATGGCGGAGGAGGATAAAATAATAAGAATTGAAAAGAAAGTTTTGTGATTTTTTTATCTCGAATCAGTATGTTCGAGTCATCAGAATTTATATTCACGCGACTTATTTATTTATTTTCGTTTGATTCGTCATTAAATTGATTACCCAGAATTACTCGCAATCCCGATAACTAAGTCTGATTTGTTTGATATTGAGATTTTTATACGAGTTGTAACATTCGGTCGACACTTTTTTCGTGAGATTTCGTCGAATAATATCAGTGGGCGCGATTGCGCAAGAATTTGTGAGACGATTGTGAGAAACGTCCGTTTTATCGAAAGCTTTGATTGGACACTCGATGGGAGTAGAATAGAGAAGGAAAAAGGAAGAGGAAAGAAAGAAAGAAAAGGCGAAAAGCTGAAAAGTGGTTTGCCATGGTGGAACGGAAGCTTGTCTGTAATACACATCGAAAGATACATCCGGTTTCCGTCCCCCCCCCCCTGCTGCTTTATCACGCTTGTATGGGGAACCTATATACGGTTGTATAGGGTTAGCGGTCGTCAAAGTTAACCTTTGTTTCGCGCATGGCTACCCTTTCGGGTTTATCAGTGTGTAGCAGCTGGTGCCGCTTTATTTATAACGCGACTTCCCTTCCTTTCCTTCTCCTCGACGGTGAAACTAGCGTGGCAGACCGTGTTAAGCCGCAACACCACTTCCTATATCGCGCGTTTTGTCAATGTGAACGTGGCAAAGTAGCATTTGTCATCACGTAAAAATGAGAAGAAATATCGTGCATCCTTCTATTTTATTTTATTTTATTTTTTTTTTAATATATCCGGATAAATATGTGCTCTCAAGTTTTTGTTTTTCGCGAATAAACACTGGATCGGAAAAATGAAAATTATTCTCAATTGGTGGTCTCTAGAATGCGAGTTAATGTGGAAAGTTATTTTTCGAATTGAGAACTGGTTTGAGAACGAAAATTACTTCTTATATGTAGTTTCTGGAATGCGAATCGCTCTCAAAAATTATTTTTCGCGAATAAATAATGGGTTGAAAATGAAAATTATTTTCTAGATTATAGTTTCTAGGATACGAATTGCTCTCAAAAATTATTTTTCGCGAATAGATATTGAATTGAGAGTGAAAATTACTCTTAGTATAGTTTTTAGGATGCAAATTGCTCTCAAAAATTATTTTTCGCGAATAAATAATGGGTTGAAAATGAAAATTATTCTTTAGATTATAGTTTCTAGGATACGAATTGCTCTCAAAAATTATTTTTCGCAAATAGATATTGAATTGAGAGTCAAAATTATTCTCAATATAGTTTCTAGGCTGCGAATCGCTCTCAAAAATTATTTTTCACGAATAAATAATGAGTTGAAAATGAAAATTATTTTCTAGATTATAGTTTCTAGGATACGAATTGCTCTCAAAAATTATTTTTCGCGAATAGATACTGGATTGAGAGTGAAAATTACTCTTAGTATAGTTTCTAGGATGCAAATTGCTCTCAAAAATTATTTTTCGCGAATAGATATTGAATTGAGAGTGAAAATTATTCTCAATATAGTTTCTAGGATGCAAATTGCTCTCAAAAATTATTTTTCGCGAATAGATATTGAATTGAGAGTGAAAATTATTCTCAATATAGTTTCTAGGATGCGAATCGCTCTCAAAAATTATTTTTCGCGAATAAATAATGGATTGAAAATGAAAATTATTCTTTAGGTTAGGTTATAGTTTCTAGAATACGAATTGCTCTCAAAAATTATTTTTCGCGAATAGATATTGGATTGAGAGTGAAAATTACTCTTAGTATAGTTTCTAGGATGCGAATTGCTCTCAAAAATTATTTTTCGCGAATAGATATTGGATTGAGAATGAAAATTACTCTCAATACAGTTTCTAAGATGCGAATTGCTCTCAAAAATTATTTTTCGTGAATAAAAAATTGAAAATAAAAATTCTTCTCTATGTATAATTTTTTGGATACGAATTGCTTTGGAAAGTTATTCTTCGTGAGTGAAAACTGCAACGAGAGTGAAAATTCTCTCAGAATCACTCTCATCATTTTCTATAGCGCGATATTTTGTTGAAATATCGTGGATTGTCCTTTTCTCTTTCGCCTCCAGAGTTATTTTTCTATACGTTGAGAGTGAAAATTATTTTTAAACGAATTACTCTCGAGAATTTTATTTCCAAATATATTCGCATCCCAAAGATGCATCTATTCACGAATTATTCGTAAATTGTGGATGTTTATGCAATTCACACGAAACCCTTTTGGAGAATAGAACGCAATAAGTTGCGAAACAATATATTAAAAAAAAAGAAAAAAAAAAAAGAGAGTACGAATCTTTTAATTACGGAATATTATATTGTATTATCTCGTTAGGGAAGATAAAAAGGTAATTAGTTGCTCTTGACATTTTGTTAATAAATAAAAATAGCTTGATCTTTTAAAATAATATTTTTATTTCGACCTATATAAAAACGATATAAAAACGATAATCACATATAGTATAATCCGATAACTGATAATTATAAGAGCGATGAAGATAAATATCAAAGTAATAGAAAAAATATGAACGATGAAACGTGTTTTCGAATCTAATATTATTTTAAACAAAACTGATAGAAATTTTCTCGCGGATGTTTCAAATTTTTCGGTGGTCAAACACGAAATAAAACAACATTTGAAGAACAACGATGTATTTTGTTGGTATATAGTGGTTGAATCAACACGAAAAAGAAATATCTGTTTTTCCTCGCGATTGGAATATCGCTATCCTCATTCTAAAATTTTAAAAAACACTTCAGTTTTACGGGAATTAATTCAAGAGTTCAAAATTCCCGCCAAACAATCTTTAATTTCCTGGCGAAAATTTCGAACATTTACGATCACGGATGAAAATTTTTCTTCGAGATTGGAAAACATATTATAAAAATCAACTTACTTAAAATCGTTATTCCAATTACATGCATTTGATCGTGGACGAACGAATCGAGTCATCGAGCTGTTTATTCGTCGTAAGTTTATTTTTAAAATTATGAAACACAATTTTCTATCAATATTCTTCTATCAATTCCCTAAAAATAGAAGGCTGTATGTTAAATCGAATCGACGATGATACAAAAATAAACCACATCCATTCGTCGAAAGTCTTCTCTTGGAATCAGAATTCTCTTTCTCAAAGATTCTTGGAGATTCGGTGATCAAATAACACCGATACCAAAAATAAAACGGAAGAGTCCCTTCGAGTCGATCGTCTATAATCGTCGGCGGAATTTTAATAAATCGCGCAATGGAATATCCGGCTAATCTTAATATTCGTTGTCGAATCGTTTTTTTCACGAATGATCGCGCCTGAATATGCAAACAGAAATTGAGGCGATCATTCACGTCGAAAGAAATGCAGCCTTCGGTTCGTCCTTACTACTATATTAAAAATCTTCTTGTATTCATGATTGTTCGTAAGGAATTCGACGAAACGTAAAGAAACGAGGAGGAGGAGGAGGTATGGAGAGAGAGAGAGAGAGAGAGAGAGAGAGAGGAGGGGGGAAGGAGGATGAGAAAGTGGAAAGAAAGATTAAAAATGAAGAAAAGTGAGAAAGGGAGGAAAGGTAAATTTGTAATTATTAGGGAAGAAATGGAGGAAGTTTTACAAGAATTCATCTTTTCAACGATCGTTGTCCAGGGATTAAGAAGAGATTAAAAAAGACGCGAGGATAAAAATTTTTAGCCGAGTGGACAAGGGTAGAGAGGAGCGACATCTGTCGAGGAGAGATAGAGGAATTAAATTTATTGAAAAAAAAGAAGAAGAAAAAAAAAAATCGAAATTCAATGAAACGATCTCGTCGAGTTTAATCAACTCTGGAAATTTTATATCGTAATTATTTAAAAAAGAAAAAAGTTACCTTTGTGGAGAATTTGTATATTCGTGAAACTTGAATCAGTCGAATATTTTCATTGTATTCGAATAACACTAATTAAATTGGAATTGTACGAAATGATTTTGATGAGAATTTAATGAATCCGAAATTTGAGTCAACATTTTTCGAAATTTTATATCATAATTATCAAAACGTTTTACTTTTATTTTTATTTTATTTTTTTCTTTTTTTTTGAAAATTTTTATATTCATAATAATATATGCTAAATTAATTTAACGTTTTAAAAATTTCGATAATTTGTTTATATTTGAAAAGATTAATGGTGAACGAAGATTAATTATCAATTTAAATAGTTTGTTTGACGTGTAAATATATGGTAACATTGCGCAATTACGATTGCCTACATTACCATGCAATGTTACAACATTGTGCAACAATATTTTTCTTGCTCGAAATATCTTATCTTTGAAATTATTCTATCTGAATCGATACGCGTCTAGATATCAACAATATATTTCAATCAAGTTTTATCGCCAAATTGTACGAAAAAAAATATTTGCAAGTTTTTATCAAAATTTTCTTGACGCTATCAAAATACGTAACAACAGAATTATATTCAATACCAAGAATTACTCAGATTTTTTTTTTTTATACTAAAATTTATTAAAAAGATTCTCGTACATTTCGTATCTCTCTCGATTAATTAAAACTATAAAAATAAAATAACAAGAATCAAGATCAACTTTCTTTTTCTCCTCCCTTCCTCGAATATACAATTTCTCATTATCAAACGACTAGAATAATACTAAAATAATAAAATATTCCATATCTTATTATTTCTATTATCGCGCACGATTGCAATTATGATTCTAAAAAAAAGAGAAACGTTATCGCAATTCTCGTTTCTCGAGAATTTACTCGAAATATAATACGCAATACACTACAGATGATCATTTGTCTCTTATATAAGCACTCGTCGAGCAACGATTATATTCAGTTGAAAGAATCGCACTCGCGATCAATTGACAAGCTCGGAACAATCCGAATCGAACGATGGATTACCTCCAACTCGGCCTCACCATTTTGGCAATACTCGTGGCCGTCTACCACCTGTCCACGAGGAATCAGAAGCTGTTGAAGAAGCACGGGATCGTGCACATCCCCCCAACGCCGTTCCTGGGCAATATGGGCCCGTTGGTGCGTCGCCAGTGCCACATGGAGGACGTGATCCAGAGGGTGTACGACCTCGAGCCTGAGGCAAAGTACGTGGGGATGTACGAGTTCACCACTCCGTTGATAATAATCCGCGACCCGGAGCTGATAAAAACGATCGGGGTGAAGGAGATCACGAATTTCACGAATCACCGGCCGTTCGTGGACGTGAGGGTGGATCCTATGCTGGGCGAGGTGTTGTTCGCGATGCAGGGCGACCGGTGGAGGGAGCACAGGACAATGCTGAGCTCTCTGTTCACCTCGAGCAAGATCAAGGCAATGTTCGTGCTCATGTCCGATTGCGCGAAAAGATTCGCCGATTATCTGTCGAAGGTGGATCGTGAGATAGAGTTGAAGAGCGTGTTGACCAGGTACACGAACGACGTGATCGCGAGATGCGTGTACGGGATCTCGGTCGACTCCGTGAACGAGCCCGACAATATATTCTACGAGTACGGTCAAGTGGCGTCCCAACTGGCGACGTTCAAGCAGAACTTGATGATATTCGTGCACAGGAACTCGCCCCGTTTGGCCAGATTGCTCAACTTGAAGATCCTGCCCGACCACATAGAGAAGTTTTTCCACCGGTTGGTCGTGGACACGATCGAGACGAGGAGGAGGGAGGGGGTGCACGGGTTGGACATGTTGCAACAATTGGTCGACATGCAGTCGAAGAAAGATTTGGACGGGAAGGGAGGTATGAGCGTGTCCAACATAGCCAATCACGCGTTCAGCTTCTTCTTCGGAAGCGTGGACACCATGGCCACGCAGATAAGCCTGATCGCGCACATGCTTGCCGTGAATCCTGACGTGCAACGGAGGCTTCAGGAGGAGATCGACGAGGTTCTGTCGGCGGGGAGTGACGAGGGTGGGGAGGGGGGTGTTGGATACGACGTGGTGCACGAGATGAAGTATCTGGACGCGGTGATGAGCGAGGCGATGAGGTATCATCCGATTCTGTTGTTCGTGGACAGGGTGTGCGGCGAGACGTTCGAATTGCCGCCCGCCCTGCCGGGCGCCCGACCCTTCAGACTCGAGAGGGGGATGAACATTTGGTTCCCCGTCAAGGCGATCCACCACGATCCCAAATATTTCGAGAATCCGGAGAGATTCGATCCGGAGAGATTTCTCAGGGATGGGAAGAGAATCGCGAGCTCGGGGGCGTACATGCCGTTCGGGATGGGGCCCAGGAAGTGCATAGGCAGTAGGTTCGCGTTGACGGAGATGAAAATACTGCTGTTCAACATCTTGGCCGTGTGCAGCTTCAAGGTCGGGAGCAAGACCACGGTCCCGTTGAAGTTCAAGGAGGGTGTGTTCAACCCGGTCGCTAAGAATGGATTCTGGTTGAAGATCGAGCCCAGGGAGAACTCTTCTTCCGGAGATGTTGCCTCCTCCAGTTGATGGAACGGGGAAAGTTAGTCGATTTTTGTAGGCTCGTTTTTTTAACTCTATTTAATAAGTTATTTCCAAGTTTTTGTTGCAATAGAGGGTGAGGGAGGCAAAAAGAAAAAAAAAAAAAAATTTTAAAAATCATTCGCAAAAAAGAAGCGTATATATACTATACATGAATGTAACGAATGAAATAATAGTAAGTTTCTGAAATTTTTGGTAGTAAAATTAATAAAATTTATAACGTTCGAGAAATGGTTAACAAGTTGATGATTAATCTCTTCGAGATTAATTAGTAATTACAATCGACAATTAGTAATTACTGATTACTTGGGGATATACCAAGATCTCGAAAGAATCAATTGTTGTAATTTTCCATTGTTTTTCGTACGTACAAATTTTTATACAATTCTTAAATAAATTGATTTTTTCTAAAGTTTTTTTTAAATCTTCTTTATTTTATATTCGAAATTATTTAAATATTTTAAAAGAATCTCCGTTTATTCACTTTTTCGATATAAAATAAAGAACAATTTTTATACAATTCTTATTAATCAATTATTTCTTAATTTAGGGAAGAAATCTTTATTTTTCGTGTGCACATCTGTCAAGTTCAATTCAATACAAAGTGCAAACATCGAAAACATCTAAGAGGAAAAAGATCGATACCTCACATTTTTCTCGACGTTCCCAAATTTTTTGGAAGAGAAAGAATCGAGGATCGTTCACAGGATTGCAATTAAAAGAAGAAAAAAAATATCACTGTATAAAGAGGATCGAGGAAGATTTAGATCAATTCGAAGGAGCAACCTTTCAATTACGATGGAGTTCACGTTGGAAATCCAACGTGCACGCAAATTCTAATTCGATTTGCACAGAGTAATTGATGTCCGTGGAAGGAACAACAATTCATCGCGAGGTTTACAGATATCGCCAACAATCCGCCCTCGAAAGGCCGGGTTAATAGGAGATGGTGGACGATAGAGAGATCTGACGTGCATATGGACAGGCTTAATAACAATCCCCCTCCTCCCTTCTCCCACCCTGCCGTGTTTGAATGGAACTAGCTACTTACCCTTCGTAGGAACTCAAAGGAATTAGAACGAGCGTCTTAGTTTGCAATTGCAGTTATACCGTTCTGTATTAATTATTATTATCATGGGCCAGTGTTGGGGAGGGGGGGATATCCTCTATTGCTCAACTCGACATGCCATTTCTAATTGCGGAAATCGTCTAGATCCAGCCGGGGATCCGTAAACGTGTAACGAGGGATTTCTAAAACGTTATCCAATCCAATTCCACGTGAGATTTCGCGTTGTTGGACACAATCCAATGTACGATCGATGGATTTTTCTTTATCTTTTTCTTTTTCGAATTAATTTCTTTTTTTATTGAAATTTCAACGCTTAAAACACTTTTGAACGAATGAAACGAATTTTCGGAAAATTTTAGTGTCGATGATGTGACAGTAACGCGTTTATAGATTGCGATTCTTTTGTGTACAACAATAATGTGCGTAACAATGCGAATTTTTTGATGTTGTTTTTTTTTGTATCGATCAATCTTGGATTAACGTTAATTTAATTTAGAAAATTCGATAGAAGGAAAGAATTTTTAAAATAATATCCTCTCTTCACTTTTCCCGTTTTCTTCTTCGAATCGAGGATAGTAATATCATATATCGAGACGAGAAATGTTAAAATTAGATTTTTATTAGCTACGACCTCACGAAGGAGAAGGGGGTTGATAAACTATTGGTTGCAGGATAATCTTTTAACGCGTAACACTATTCGACTTTGATTAATCAAAATATACGTCGTATTTCGTCCGTTCTGCATCTCTTTTACTCCCCTTCGTTTCGTCTTGGATAGATAATTGGTTGTCAGAAGGTCCTCTATCGGTGAAGAGAACAAGAGAAAAATAAAGAGGGAGGGGGAGGGAGAGGGAGAGTGAGACTGGTCGGATGCCCCGAAGTAAATTGCGAAGGGGTGATTCTGTCCATTGCAATTCGCCTCCAATATATTATCTTATCCTCAGGCTTCATCCTGTTGGGCCGTCTACTTTCTTAAAATTACTTTTTATCAACACTTTGTTTCGCCAATTACCCCAAGTTTTCATCTTTCTCCCATCGCGTTCTCCGTCCGCGTTGCCCTCCTGGAGGAACCATTTTGCCAATTATTGCCAACCACCTTATGGAAATGGACAGCGAAGTGGTTAACACGATGATGCATCGTCCCTCCCTCCCGTGAATTGCATCATTTTATCGTGATTTTTAAAAAAATCTGCGATACTTCAATAGACCTTGAATTATATTCCCTTTTCGTCCATTTTCTTTATAGAAGATTTCTTTTATATTCTTTTTTTTTTTTTTTTTTTTTGCTTATACGAATGATTCTTCTATTTTTAATTTCAACGTTTGTTTGCTCGACGTGGGAAATTTATATATAAATTATATTATGGATTAATATAATATTCATTTTCTTACATTTCCTACGACAAGTTTTTTCAAAAACTTAACATTCATTCGTAAAGATAATATTACATATCTTTAAAAAAATCTATTTTTACCTGTTCATATCAGATTTTAATCAATTCCAATCAAAATTGATCGAACAACGTAACTTCAAATCCTTGAATGTATTAAAGAACAAAAAGAAAAAAAAAAAAAACATCTATACGAAAAAGAACAAAAGTACGTAAATTATCCTAATACGAATAATCGAACAAGACCCTTCAACGAAAAAATTGATCGAAGCGAAACAAAACGAGCGTAACACACACGATATAAGATTATTCCACACTCCCCGCTTCGACCGCTCGAATGTTAACCGATACGTCATCTAGCGTCGAAACGATTAAAACGAAAACTACTACTACTACTAGTTGTACCGCGCTCACCGCTTCTTTTCCACGCCTCCCACGCCTCACCCCCACCTCCTCCACGGCCTAGGGAGGTAACAGATTGGAATCTACGGTTGCCAAATTGATTGTTGGCGATCGATCAACCAAGTTCACGCGGGGGCAGATCGAGTGGCGAGATATTGGCCGTGGTGTGTATATATATATATATATATATATATATATATATATATATATATATCGGACGCGACAAAATGCATCGCGGCCCTCCTCTCTCTCTCTCTCTCTCTCTCTCCCTCCCTCTCTTCCTCTCTTCCTCCTCTCCCTCTCGGATACTTGGCGTTTTCGCGCGATCGATCATCGACAACCGCCATGATCGATACGTTTCCGTTGCCCGATGGCGGAAGTTGCGAAGCCCGCCTATGGATACGCGCCATCCGCCGGCCTGGACACGAGTTTGACACGGGCTGGCCCCCAAGTATTTGGCAAATGGCGACAGATAATCCATAACTGATTCGAGGTCAAGCATCAAGCGGGCTTAATATATTGCCACTGTCGGAAAGGAGGAAAGTTTTTGATCGGTTGTTGGGGGGAGAGGGAGGGTGATAAGGTGCAAGATAGATGGATAGAACTTGTTATAGAAAACTTGTGCACTGTACACGTAAGTTTGCGTGTATTGTACGTGCCTTTTTTTTTCTTGAGTTTACGGTGTTAAAAAGAAAAAAGAAAGGAAAATGCTTTATTTTAAACGATGGTTTAAACGTATGGTACACTCGGTTGTTGGGTTAAGCAGAAGTTTTTATCGTGATTGGTTAATTATGGTTAGTGTTTTTTTTTTTTATGATGAATCTCGAATCAGGTAAATTATAGTCCATTGCACGATTGTTAATTCTTTTCCACGGAATAATTTCGCGGAAGATATCGTTGACGTGAACTTTCACTTCGTCTTTTCAAATTCTGACGAGGAAGAAATTCTTTTTATCCTCGCACAAACGTCGTGTATTACATTGCTAATTAATATTCACCGAGGCGATAAATTATTCAAACTTATTAATCAAGTATAGTTTAACGTTTCGATCGTGTCTTGTTATCTTCGATGAAAATGATGAGTGAAGTCGAATCGACGAAGTCGTGTTTATGCGTACGTATATACGCGTTTAATGGAGGGAAATTTTTGCCTCGAAGGTAGAAGTCGAAGAAGAAAGTGAAACTCTGAAGAATTTGCATTGATAATAATAACGTGCACGTACCATACGTATATAGCTACGTATTTGAAGATTTAACGATGCGAGGTCGCGATGTGGATCAACGAGAGACAAGCCATCCCTTGTCTTTTGTTAGAGAGTTAGTTATTTGGAAACGAAGATTCAACATGGAGGAAACATATTTGCATACACGTATGGGAATGGAATAATGGACGAGGCTGCGAGAATTCTCTTGCCATCATCCCTTGTTTCGTTATTTTCGTTCTTCTTTTTCACATTTCACGTTTTTCTTCTTCTTCTTTTCAGCCTTAAATTTTCCTTCTATTGAGAATATTAATTATATATATATATATGTTTTTGATCAGAGAAGAAATATCTACGAAAAAAATCTTTTTCTATATTGATTATTTTCGAATTTACTTTAACGATATCGCGTATTTAGAAATTTATTTAAAGAAAAATATACGTTTATTATTTAACGAACAAGCCAACGTTTATTCATTTACTTTTTAAGATTTAAAAGTTACGAACTTTGACTGAATAAATCCGATTTCATTCGGATTACACGCGATCTCTCTGTATTACCGTGTTCATGATTAATCAATCGATTAATTAATTAATGAAAAATTATCGTAAAATTACGTGTACCGGTGTTAATTAACTAATTACAAAAAAAAAGGAAAATGATGACACGTGATCAGAGAGGCAAATGGAAGGCAATAATAATAAGGGAACAAAAATTTTCCAACGAGATATATCATTATTCGCAACGTTTTCCAATTTTTCACGCATTTTTTCACGGTTCGGTTGTAAACACGGAATTAATAAAATGATTAAACGGTAATTATGAAAATCTTTGATAATGAGGATCTCTTCGTCACATTTATTATTGCTCTCTATCAAAATTATCTTCACCAGAATTTCCCCACCAATCTTTGCCGGGATTTCACAAATATTTATTAGATATTAGATTAAAATCTCCAATTTGGATTCACGGATAATTTTATTCAGAGATTTGTGTCGATACTTGGAAACGAATATACGGGGTATATCGACTAATTTCAGAATTGTAAATTATAACGACGTTTATGCACCTTGGAGAATAATACGTCACGGTCTATAAACGTTGATTATTTCAAGCTCTGAAGCATCCGTTATGTACGGTAGTAAAGTTGCTACATGCATATTGCAAACGTTGATGCTCCGCTGATTTTATAATATTCTTTTGAAACGGTTGATAGTATCTGTTACAATCGAAATAATAAATTCGACTGCTACGCGATAGTATTATTTATAATACGTTCAATTTTATTCTCGTTTCAGTATATTACAATTTTCATGGGGTATTATTCGTAATTTACGAAACAATATGACGTAATAATTTCGTCGAAAATTTCTTTCGCGTACGAAATAGAAAATAGAAGATTCGAGGGCGAAGAAATTTCTTCCTTGAATTATTTTGTTTAATCGAATTTATTATTATTATTATATTTATTATTATTAAATTATTATTATTATTAAATTATATATGGGAAATTTTCGAAAAAAAATATCGAAATGTTATAATAAATATTCTTGGGCGTGAAAGCAATGATGGTTATTCAATATAAAACAAGGGAAGTTTTAAAATTAGTTTAATTTTAATAAATTCTCACGTGCAACAAGTTTGGTAACAAAGTAACCGGGGAAGTTTCAAATTTTCGACGAGAATCGAGTGATTCCCTTCTTGATCGAATAAAATTTTGAACGAGTAATTCATCGTGTAGAATTATATTAAAACGTTTATGTATTGTTTCAAACAAGAGAAATTTACTAAATGACGATTTCGTATGGTCGAAATCACGTAAAGATAAAAAAAAAAAGTTGAATGAAATGTTATCTAATTGAAATGAAACTTTCACGGATTCTAGGAAATTCCCTCACGAAATATTCGATTTTTCATTAAATCTATATTTAATCGTAACTATTAAAACTTCCCTTGAAGCAAGAAAGTAGGGGAAATATTAAATGTGTATGCGCAGAATGTTTCATTAAAAAATGGGGGCGATCCTATCCTTTTTTCTTAAAAGTATTCCAAGAAATAAATTTCTTAGAAATAAAATAAAATTAGAATTTTATTTAAAACGAATCGAATACGATACCAATCATTTTTAGATATCTATTTTTTTAGATATCTATCTACTCCTCCCTCCCCCTATTCCGTTTCTTCTTTTAACGCAAATAAAAATTTTCCATTAATTTTTTTCCATCAGAAAAACATTTTTTCCATAATAAATTTTATTGCCATGAAAATATTCATTAAATTATGAAATAATAATAATAATATTATATATATTCTTGGTTTTAGAGAATATCATCGCCTCAGGTTGGAAGGATTTGATTTTCTGGATTTCTTACGGAATCAAAATTCCGTTTTCCGGAACGAAATAAAAAGAGAAACGTTTAAACAACCGACATTTCGCTTTTATCAACCAATAACTGGCAGTAAATGGATGGCCTACTTATTTCCTTCGAGTTTTCTCGTTATATTAAAGTTCGAGACGGATTTAATTATACACAACAAGACTCGCTACCAAGATTTCTGCTTATTAGTGTTTGCCTTCGTTAGCCTCGATAAACAATCAACGTCGCTTACCATTGTTTTAAAGCAAGGCGGCGAGAATTTTGATTTCGCTGTAAACATCCTCCGTTGGGGAGATCAGTTTCGAATTAACGAGGGATGGATCCCCGCTTTATCATCGGGACGTTTTCGAGCGTGAGTGGGGAAACGAAATTTTAAGAAAGCGCGATTAGAATCGGTCGAGTATAGTATAATATAGGGAAATATTGTTAAATCGATTGGATGATCGATAAACTTTAAATTTAATAATTCCATTCGATTAATCGAGAAAAGTAATTGGGAATAAACGAGTATTTGCTTATATCGGTGTTTAACATTCGTATAAAAATGTGGGAAGGATTGCAGAAAATTGTGAATACGGACGGATGAATAATTTCCAGTTAATATCGATTTCCAATTTTTAATTACTGCCCTTTTTAAAAAATATTTAATTTTCTAAATGCGCGAATACGCGTATGTATTGGAATGTAATTTTATTTCCCGAGAAAAGAGCTTTGTCAATTTTAATATGATTAAATTTTTAGGGAAGGGGAAAAAAGTGTGTTAAAAAGAGAGAGAGAGAAAAAAAAAACTATAACACCATTCTTTGACAAAGTTCCAATCGTTTCATTCCAATATTTTGCTTGTTACAATAATATCCCAATTATTCAAAAAAAAAAAAAAAAAAAAAAAAGATCCATCGTCAAAAAGAATATCTCTCATATCTTCCTTGAAAATCCATTCTTCAAAATTACTCCAACTATCCAAAAATAATTCCATCACCAATAATTACAATTATCTCACTCCTCTTCCGAGTTTCTAACTCTCAATTAATTCCTCAAAAAAAAAAAAAAAGATAGAAACAAAGAAAATCAAATTATCAGTCGTCCAAAATCTTCGAAATGGAAGAAAGGAAAAAAAAAAAAATTTCATCACGATAATTAATTACACGAGACCATTCCACTCGACTTACAACAACCACCATCATCCAAATCAATTGTCGCGCCGATCATTGATTTTCGATCTCTCGCCCATAGGAAATTGACTCGGGTTAAGGGCGGATTTTTATTAATTACTTTATTGTTCCCTCCAGTATCGATCAATCGTAAGGGATGCACGTATATACAACCGATTGTTTTGCGGGTGATTGGTCGTTATGTGTGGTAGCGCGAAACCCAATAGTCGTCGTTGTTTTTGGTGTCTCGAGGCTGATGGATGGCGGATATCGACTGCATCGCTGCAGGGGCAGAACTGGATGGCTTTCTCATTTCACAAGCCGGGAGAGGGACTTCCGCCGGAACCCAACTCCCAACGGAGACACCGAGAATTCGCTTTAACCCCCTCCTCCCCCTCCATACTTCCCTCCCTCCCTCCCCTCCGAAATTTTCTCTACGTGTAACCAATTCCTCCATTGTTTTTTTTCCCCCTTCTTCTTCTTCTTCTTCTTCTTCTTCCTTCTCCTTTTCTCTCAGAGTCATTCATTGCTCTGTCTTTTCGTCGAATCGTTCGAAATAGAAGAAGGAAACGTATCGTAGCGAAATGGCACGCGTTTCGATTTTGAAGAGTAAACAATTGAAAGGATCGAGGTTTCTTCGGCTTTTAAGCGTGTATGGTTTTGAAAGAAGTAGAATATTCTCTTTATAGAGAATAATTTAATTCATA